GGTTTTTTTCTCTTCAGCTTTTGGTTGAATGTAGTTTTGTGAATTTTGATATTTTAATCAGGTTTCAGAACTTCACCGGGTATACAGGATACAGAAAGATATGATGGATGAACTGAAAAGGAAACAGTTGAATAAAGAATGGGGTCCAATTGAGGCATCATTTTCATCTCAAGCTAATAACGATGATGTACGTAAATGGAAAATCCCTAGTTTCCCTTTGCCAAACTCGGGATACGATAGACCATCCATGTCGGTCGTTGAGGATAATGGCCATTCTCCCATGAAAGGAAGCAGTTCTCAAGGGCTTGGTGGTCCACTTCCATGGCAAAATGGTGCTAGTTCCAGAAATGTTGAAACTTTGGAGGTTAGACCGACGAAAATCAGAAAAAGGATGATAGATCTTTGTCTTCCAGCTGATGACTACATTGATGACACTGATGAAGTTGTAGAGTTGAAAGATCATAGGGTTTGTGGCACATCGAGTCAGCTCCCGAATGGAAATGTGAAGACTGAATCTCGCGGAGATAGTGTGAGAATTGGATATGGGTTGAGTAGTAGAAGCAATGGCTTGGCTGATTTGAACGAACCATTTAAGGCTCAAGAAACAAATGAATCTGCTTATGGCCATTCCCGTGACTTGCGCAATGGCGAGTTTCAAGGCCATATTCGCGATTACGGAAAAGCTCTGAACTCGGGCAGTGTAAGGGGGGAGCATGTTCCTGTTATCTCTCCGCATCCAGATGAGAACGGTAAATCGAAAGTTTGGCCACATCAGCCCTTAAGAATTGGTAAGATGATCCACTAAGTTGTAAATGCCAATTGTTGGATTTTCTTCTTTGCTTATACCTGTTTCTTATGTATTCATTTTAAAATCCACCATTTGCAGATCATTACAGTGGCACACATAAGACTCCTACTCCATTTCTTCAACCGGGCAAGCCATTGGATTCATCGGCTCACCCTATGCAAGTTTTGATGAACAGTTCACAAAGAGCAATGGGTTTACCTAATTCTGGTCCTCCAAGCAAGGCAGTCTTCTGGAGAGAAAGAACGTTTATTGACCTAGAAGCTGATACTGATACCAATACTAGTCATGAAGTCATCCATGAATCAAGTTTGGCTTCTCACCAACCACGCCACTTGTATCCATATAATCCTCTAGATTCTGCTGTACCTTGGAATCATTTGCAATCTTCTTGGCAAAATTCTAGCTTTGGCTTCCCTCAGAAAGTTGCTTCAGCGCAGAGATACCCGGTTCTAAACCTGTCAGACACATTGAGTGGTAGTGCTCAGAAACAAGGGTGTCTCGGAGACAGATTACAGTTTGAAAGCAATTCTAGATTTAACTCAGGGTTCGGCAGTACCAGTCAGTCAAACCACAACATGTTTTACAATGAGTGTTCCTCTTCATCAAAACCGAAATTTTCTGGAACTGGCTATAATTATCCTAATGGAGGAAGAAGTGATTACTGCTCAAATCCATTCATGGATTCAAATGGCTCGGAGATGAAGTTTGTGAGAGATTTGAACTTAAATGTGACGCTTTCAAACACTTCTGTTGTTGAAGTCAGAAAGGATGAAGAACACCGGGATACTTTACCATGGCTTAGTAAACCTAAGTCTGCTTGTAGGTCTGAGTTGGCTGATGGGAAATGGAATCTGAACGATGTTCCGAGTTCTTCTTCAAAACCATTGGATATCAAAGATGAGGCAGGAAACAAAGTTCAGAATCTTATGTGGCTTGAGACTTTAAAGTCTGGCTCTTGTTCCAATAAACCGGAGACTGAGAAGATCAGTGGTAACACACAAATTCCTGGATTTGCTTATAGAGATCGATCCAACTCAGAAATAGATAAAGTCCATAAAGTTAGGATGCTAGACATGAACGAACCGTGTGATCCTCTTTCGGATGAAGATCAGCAAACGGAGGAACAATCTGGGACAAAGGTGTCAGGTAGTAATAGGTGTCAGATTGATTTGAACATGTTGGGTAGTGAAGACGAGGATGAAAACTGGTCTGTTCCTACTTGTTCAAGACTGACTTCAAAGGCACCCATGATAGATCTAGAAGCTCCTCCTGAGTC